CAGAATGAAATCTGAAAAATTCTTTTTATATTTCGTCTGCAGAAAAGAACGCAGAAAAATACAGACGTCTACTACACAACAAAGATCATGTGTAGAGATAGAAAAGCACACACTGGTATCTAATATTTCACTCTTATATGCACACATCAACTATAACATATTACGAAACGGTTGAGTAGAAATTTATTCATATTCAAGTGAGGATAATCTTCTAAATTAACAGAAGATAACAATACGTGTAAACATGGAATTATGTATTACGTATAAATGTTCAGAGTACAAAAAATATCCGTATTATTTACATTTCGGTTAAAAGCTAAACAAATATTGAATTTTGTAATATTTTTATCAGGATTATATCTGCATGATAGATAGACAGCAGTTTTTCTACTCAGTCATTGTTACTTTTCTGGAATTAGAAAAAATTTTGAATTGTATAACATTGAATTTCGAGAAGGGAATTACTAGCAGTTTGATTGTAGATGAAATGTTTTTTCGTGTTCCATTCTGCACAAAAAATAAAATAAATAGCATTTTTCAGACTCTTTTCTGCGGAAAAACTATGATTTAAAAACGCTGAGTTCATTACTGCAGTTTTTAAATAAACGAGTTTCATTCTGCTATTTTTTTGGGCTCTTCTACATTCCACATGTCCACTCTATATGAGGAAGAAAAAAAATAAATAAATTTTCGACGTATCAATCCAGTTTATTTTATCAATTAAAATCTTTTTGTATCTGTATAATAGTTTATTTATAGCCTTTTCTGCAATGGTAATTTATCATATCCAAATTAAATATATAATTGAATGAATTGACAATATATGTTAGTCAGACAATATCTTTACAATAAATAATAAATATATAAAATCTCTTCGGTTAGAAATCTCTAATAACATATCGCTTATGATTCTGCTCAATAGTCTGTACTATTATTGCATAATGGTTGAATGATCACTGTGTTTTAGAAAACTAATTTTAATTTTTAAATCTGAAAAGAATTCTATTTGTTGAATAAACTGAGCAACGTTTTCGACGTATTTGTGTTTTCGTGAACAAAACTAGCTCACTACTTTTTTATTCAGTGCTGTTCCTATTTTATTATGTGTTATGTGGGAAAGCGAGAAAAAAAATGAAATTTTAAAATACGCGTGTATACAGAAAAAAACCAAACAATACCAAAAAAAAAAGATATATTTTCTCTTTACAAATACACAACAAAAAAATGGTTTTCTTCTATATAAATTGAAACAAGAAGAGTAGTTAACGAAAAAGAAATCATCATTAAATAGTACAAAATGTTGATATTATCAGATCACTCTTAAAAAATGGACAAAGAGAAGAAAAAAAAAATTTAATCGTATAACTAGTCTATGTATGAAAAAAGAGAAATGTCACGAATGATAATCACAATATGTTTATTTTGGATTTTTAACTACTGTCCATTCATGAGTATTCATCGAGCTATTGTCTTCGGAATGAGCAACATTTCCACTGTTCGATGATGGTGACGGTTGTCGATGTTTTGAATGCCGATGTCGATGATGATGGCCATGTGAATGACGATGCTCTCGAGATTGTTGCCGTTGTTCTTGTGAATTGTTATAACGTGTTGACGAATCATAATTACGATAAACATTATAAGAATTTAATGATGGAAGACTATCGACAACAGATCCTAAATAAAACATTAAATATCACAATTTTCTGACAAAGTTCTAGTAAGAAAAAAATATGGATGAATTTTCGTTATACATGATCTTCAATACCTGACGTAATGGTTGTTGATGGTTGTTCCGGTGCTGCTGTATCAAACTGTGTTGTCAATGAAAGATCAAGTGCTATTGATGGATTTTGATCATTGTTGCTATTAGTAATGTCATTTCGAGTTTGAACAGTTGAAAGTATTTCACTATCATTATTTTCATTGTCGCCGGTATTTAGATTGTTGACATTATTAAACATTTCATTTCGATTAATACAACGTAGTAAAGCTGATATTCGCAATGATGTATCGTCTAAAATATGAAATGAGAATCAACATATATAGAGTGAGAAATTAAAAAATGACTGTATTTTAAACCTTGTTGTAAGATATCTTCGTCATCTGCGTCATTTCCGTCATAATCTCGTTGATCTAGCGTAACAATATTTCTGTTTGATAGCAAGTAATCTTCATAATTGAATGGTAA